TAGCCACCCCCAAGGCAGCAGGAAGGGGGAAGGGATGGGACCAGCTACATTTGTCTTTGGTCTGAGGAGCAAAAATTCTTCTATACGTGCTCCCAGCAGCCTTCTACTTATTTCTCATTGGCTAGAACTGTGTCACATGGTTATGTCTAGCTGTAAGGGAGGGAAGTATTTATTTTCCCCAGCTTCTATAACAGAAACCGGCAAGAAGGGAGTGGGGTGAGAATGGATGTTGTATTATGTAACCAGTGGTGTCCAGCACCATCTGCTTGATTAGACTTAGCACTCCTTGAGGGCATGAATGGTGTGTGTGTGTGTGTGTACATTTGTATACATAGACAAAAGTCTATATATTGTGGCCCTAGTGCCAAGGACTTGTTAGACGGTGGCTTATTGGAATGCAAAATGTTGGGGTGGGAAATCTGTCAAAAATGAGTTATGGGCCGGGCGTGGTGGCTCACGCCTGTAATCCTAGCACTCTGGGAGGCCGAGGCAGGAGGATCGCTCAAAGTCAGGAGTTCGCAACCAGCCTGAGCAAGAGCAAGACCCCGTCTCTACTAAAAATAGAAAGAAATTAATTAGTCAACTAGAAATATATATAGAAAAAATTAGCCATGCATGGTGGCATGTGCCTGTAGTCCTAGCTACTCGGGAGGGTAATGCAGGAGGATCGCTTGAGCCCAGGAGTTTGAGGCTGCTGTGAGCTAGGCTGACGCCATGGTACTCATTCTAGCCTGGGCAACAGAGTAAGACTCTGTCTAAAAAAAAGAAAAGAAAAGAAAAGAAAAAGAAAAATGAGTTATAGAAGAAAAGTAGCACTGAAAGTGGCTCTTAGGCCAACCTTGGCTGATTCAACAGAGATGTTTATAGAAAGGTGGCTTAAGGGCCAGAGAAAAGACTTGAGATAGAGCCTCCAGAAACAATTTCCTGGACTGTCTCAGGACTGATCTGATGGGAAAGCTGCCCCCCTCCCCTTCAGGCTTCCTGTGCCATGGTGGACACCCCTGGCACTTCCACACTGTGAATTCCACCTGGTGAGCATCTGGTGTCTCCACTTCCCACCCCCCAGCAACTCTGATTCCATGGGAGCCCCCTCTTCAGTTTGCTCTCTCTAAGGGAAATCTTCTGAGGATGCCACTGATCTCTGGAGCTGGGCACATGCCTGCCCCCACCTGCTGGGAAGGCCAGTCTCCCGGCTGCACCCTAGGGAGGTGGGGGAGACATTCCCTAACCATAAAATGAGTGTGCAAGAGGTGCTGGAACCCAGAAAACAGGACAGATGTCCACCTCAGTCCTGTACTTCTTGATGAGGAATTTGACTGCTGCGCAAAGGAGACAAATAGGAAAGTAAGTAGCTGAAAGTGACCAGTGGTGCAAATACTTTTTCATGGTTAGAAATTATTTTTAAATGTATTATTTCATACATCAGAAGAATAATTATAATGTATATGCTACTTATAAAGCATACCAATAAATTAGATACCTGTGAACCTAGTACTTAGACTAGAAATTACCAATTCCATTGAAGTCACTGATGCACTTCTTTCTCATCCTGTTTCTGGGCTTTATTGAAGGTTAGTATTCCATATACTGTACAGTATATACTGGAGCTAGTGTTCTGTGATTTTGTTCCCTTTATGTTGTATGTCTAAGATTCATCCATGCTATTCCATGTATGTTTAGTTGGATCATTTTCACTGATGTGTAATATTCCATTGCGAGACTCTAATATTGTGTAACTGTTACAACTTATTTGTCCATTCTCCTGTCACTGGATATTTGGATTGCTTCTAGTTTCTATTACAAACAATGACATTGTAAAAAAAAATTTAAACATGTTTCCTTTCTTGATTCCCAAGTTCTAAAATACTTGTAGAAAGAAATGTAGAAATAGAATTGCCAGGAGGTAGGACGTAAGTACTTACTCTTCTGAGCCATTACCAAATTTCTTTCTTTTTTTCACCAGCAGTGTGTGAGAGTTCTCATTTTACCCCTTGATTTTGCTAGACTTCTTTTTGCCAACCTAGTGAGTGTGAAGTGGTATCTTCTCATGACTTTAGTTGCTGGTGAGGCAAGCATCTTCACATAGATTTATTTATAATTCCTGTTTCCTCTTCTGTGAAATTTCTGCAAATACCTTTTACCCATTTATTATTTGGTAGTGTGATGACTAATTTTATCTGTCAACTTGACTGGGTTCAGGGATGCCCAAATAGCTGATAGAACATTATTTCTGGGTGTGTCTGTGAGGGCATTTCCAGAAGAGATTAGCATTTGAATCTGAAGATTGAGTAAAGAAGATTCATCCCCACCATGGTGGGTGGGCATTCTCCAATCCATTGAGTGCCCAAATAGAACAAAAAGACAGAGGAAGGGCAAATTCTCTCTCTCTCTTCTTGAGCTGGGACATTCATCTTTTCCTGTCTTGGAACATCAGTGCTCCTGGTTCTCGGGCCTTCGGACCCAAACTGGAACTAACACCATGGGCTCTCCTGGTTTTCAGACCTTTGGGCTTGGACTGGGACTGCACCACCGGCTTTCTTGGGTCTCCAAGTTGCAGATGGAAGATTGTGATACTTCTCAGCCTCCACAGTGTCATGAGACAATCCTGTGTGATAAATCTCTTTCTATCTCTCTCTCTATATATATATCCCATTGGTTCTGTTTCTCTGGAGAACCCTGACTTACACAGGTGATTTATCTTTTTTTTTTTTTTTTAAAGACCAGTCAAGTGCAATAGTGAGAAGGAGGATAAGTAGTAGAATAAAGAATTCAATCTGTAACTGACTGTGAACAATCAAGTGAGATAACTCACTACTTTTGGACCAGCCTGTTTTATCTCTTAAGACTGGTTTGTAGTTCTTTATATATGTTGAGTACTGTTCTTTTGCAGGTTAAATATTTTGTAAATATCTTCTTCCAGGTTGTGGCTTGTTTTCACTTTCTTTTGAGGAACAGGAGTTCTTAATTTTAATATGGTCCAATGTGTTAATTTTTTACTGTTACATAGCTTTTTGTGCACTGTTTAAGAAATTTTGTTTTTTGTTTTTTGGAGAGTTTTGTTGTTGTTGTTTTTGTTTGGAGATGGGGCTTGCTCTGTTGCCCTGGATAGAGTACAGTAGTACCATCATAGCACACTAAAACCTCACACCCCTGGGCTCAAGGTGATCCTCCTTCCTCAGCCTCCTGAGTATCTGGGACTGTGCTCTACTAATTTTTCTATTTCTTGTAGAGATGGGGTCTTGTTCTTGCTCAGGCTGGTCTCAATCTCCTGACCTTAAGCAATCTTCCTGCCTTGGTCTCCCAAAGTGCTAAGATTACAGGCATGAGCTACCACGCCCAGCTAATTTTTTTTTACTTTGAAAAAAATTATTGGTTCACGGAAAGCCGGAAGAAAAGTAAGGAAAATTGCCACTTACCCTTCACTCATTTCCCCCAGTGGTTGCTTCTACACCTTGATAACTGTAGTATAATATCAAAACCAGGGAAATGGCATTGGTAGAATGTGCGTATGTGTTTATTTACAGTTCTAAGTTATTTTATGACATGAGCAGGTCTACATCTATATAACTATAGTACAATATCAAAACTAGAAATTGACATTGGTGTACTGTGCTACTGGCATCAAGATACAGAAGTGTTCCATACCACAAACATCTTACTCCTGCTACCCAAAACTCACTCCATTTTTCTACCATCCCTAACCCTCAGCAACCACGAATTTGTTCTCCCTCTCTAAATTTTGTCACTTCTAGAATGCTAAGTGAAATTGTATGTACTCTTTCGAGATTGTCTTTATTCACTCGGCACATGTTCCTGAGATCCATCCAAGCTGTTGTGTGTGCCAAGAGTTTATGCCTTTTCATTGCTAAGTAGTATTCCATAGTAGGAATGTACCACAAGTTGGTTTTTTTTCTTCCATTCCCCTACAGAGGGGCATTTTGGTTGTTTCCAGTTTTTGGCTATTACCAATAAAGTTGTTATGAACATTTGTGTACAAGTTTTTGTGTGGACATAAGTGGTTTTTTTTTTGAGGCAGAGTCTCACTTTGTTGCCCAGGCTAGAGTGAGTGCCGTGGTGTCAGCCTAGCTCACAGCAACCTCAAACTTCTGAGCTCAAGCAATCCTTCAGCCTCCCGAGTAGCTGGGACTACAGGCATGTGCCACCATGCACGGCTAATTTTTTGTATATATATTTTTAGTTGGTCAATTAATTTCTTTCTATTTTTAGTAGAGACAGGGGTCTTGCTCTTGCTCAGGGTGGTTTCAAACTCCTGACCTCAAGCAATCCACCCACCTCCGCCTCCCAGAGTGCAAGGATTACAGGCGTGAGCCACCACGCCTGGCCAGGACATAGGTTTTCATGCTTGTTAGATAAATGCCCAAGAGTATAATTGCTGGGTTGTATGAGAGAGATATATTATATTTAGTTTTTTAAAGGAAACTATCAAACTATTTTCCAGAGGGACTGTACCATTTTTACATTCCCTGTGGTTGCTCCTTTAAGGTAGGGGAGAAATAAAGCCTGTTGAAATTCTGCAGGAAGGAGCCGGCTGTGAAGAAGGGGAAGGATGCATGAGAGTCCAGTCTCAGAGGGAGCAGGAGGGGGCGGAGCGTGAGTGAAGGCCCGCCCCTTCGATGGAGCTTCCTGGCTGGGAACAGGAGGAGGAGGTAGGCCAGAGAGAGCTCAGACACCAGGGTTGTCAGCTTTATGGGTTTGGAGACAGGAAGCTGATGGCTTTTTTTTTTTTTTTTTTGACTCTACTAAATAGAGAACAGAGGCCATGTGGAGAGTCAAGTGCTCTGAGATCAAAGGGCTCTGTGGTCAAAATTGGGAAATGCTTCTGGATGCCACATCATAAGTGTTATTAGGACGTTAAATGTTTAGAAAAATCCTAAGGTAAAAAAGAAACTGGTTACATTTTGTAGCTTGAACAAAGGAATGTATATGATGAAGGACTTATTTTTTTGCTCTCCATATATATTTCTAAACCCTTCCCCCAGAGAACAGTTTTCTCTTCACACCAGTTGGGAAGACTGAGGATGAGAACACAGCTGCCATGGGACATTCGCTGACTCTTACCCTCTCCTCTAGAGGCGTAATACCAAATTTAAACAGGTGCGGCATCAGAGTATTGTGGCCAGACTTTTAGTAAAACCTCCTAATATTTGAAATGTATTCCAATATAATTTAGTTTATGCACTATTATGCCAAACATATTTAAAAATGGATTCACATTCTTTTTTCACAGAGTCTCGCACTGTGCCGTGTTGTCAGCCTAGCTCACAGCAACCTCAAACTCCTGGGCTCAAGCAATCCTCCTGCCTCAGCCTCCTGAATAGCTGGGACTACAGACGTGCGCCACACACCCAACTAATCTGGGTTCACATTTTTATGTGCCCACTTGATTTGCTATAAAGGTGGCACTGCAGAGCAGTGGAGGAAGAATAGTCTTTTTAATGAATTGAACTGGGTGAGCTGGATAAACTAGCAAATGGGGAACTACACACACACACACACTCTCAGGAATCCACCTTCCTTCTCTTCCTCCCTCCACCTAATAGATTCTAATTCAGTTTTTAAAAGCTCACCAGGTAATTTTGACCATCAGCCAGGTTTGGAAAGTATTGAGCTAATTTCTTGTGTCTGTCTCTTTCTATTTATCTATCTGTCTAGCTTTCTTTATTCCAGAAAAGATTTAAGGTGTTGACTTAATTAGTACAGTAACTTAGGAAACCAACCATTTAAGGAAATAAATAAAAATATCGATCGTGGCTTAATCTTTATCTTCTTTCTCATAGTTTTGTATTTTCCAAGTTTTCTTGATATGTATTATTGTAATGATAATAACTTAAAAAAAAAGCAAAACTTTATAGATAACAATTGAATGCAGTCACTTGTCAGAGTTGCCAGGCCTATGTACTATTTTATCCTTGATAAGTTATTAGTTAACCAAATATAGTAATTTGATTTTTATGACCCTCCATTGCTGCAGAGAACCAGAGAAGAAAACTTTTGTGGCTGTGACCTTACAGATTACTGGCAGGATGTAAGACTGCTAAAGTTCTAACAGTTTCTGTTCTCCAGGGTCCTGCAAAACTTCTCTAGAAATGACTCCCATTATGCTTAGCAATGTTATATAAAATATAAATAGGGCTTTCCTTATTCAACTGGAACTTGAAACTAGAATATAGTGGAACATAGAATGATTCCAAGTTGGAAGAATGGTTCAAGGTCCCTTGGTTCAATGAGCAGTCATGCCAACTCCTAGGATGCAGTAGTTTATTGCAAGTGGATTGCTTCCCCCTACTGGTGAAAGGTGGTCACACTACTTCAGTTTTTAGCAGTGTTTAACCTCAGAATCATGATTTATAAATTATTTTGCACCGTGGGTTGCTTTGACTATGATTATTACAACAGGTACATTTGTGACAATATCACATAATACCAATGCTAAAATAATTAACTAATTATTTTAACAATCAAAGCAAAACAATATCTTAGGCAGTCAAAGCCTTACTTCTGTAATTTCTGACTCAATTATCTCTCATTTACAATACTTCTACTGTCAAGAAATATTAAAGAAATGCATGAGGCCGGGCGTGGTGGCTCACGCCTGTAATCCTAGCACTCTGGGAGGCAGAGGCGGGAGGATCGCTCAAAGTCAGGAGTTTGAAACCAGCCTGAGCAAGAGCGAGACCCCATCTCTACTAAAAATAGAAAGAAATTAATTGGCCAACTAATAATATATAGAAAAAATTAGCCAGGCATGGTGGCGCATGCCTGTAGTTGTTGCAGCAAATGACAGCGATTGACCATGGAAAGAACCGAGTGGCACACAGAGGGTGGGAGAATCAGCTTTTATTTCGCCGGTGAGCTCAGAGGGGCATGCCACCAAATTCTGAGCACCGCTTCCTTACTTCTCTCCGGTTTTATATACTTCTTGTTACACACAACCAATATCCAATTAACGGTGGGATTAGTAGAAACAGCCGTAAGCTTCACATATATCCAAATAGCGGTGGATTTTGCCTCAGGGCCCCTGGGTGGGGGCTTTCCCTATCATAGTCCCAGCTACTGGGGAGGCTGAGGCAGGAGGATTGCTTGCGCCCAGGAGTTTGAGGTTGCTGCGAGCTAGGCTGACACCATGGCACTCACTCTAGCCCAGGCAACAGAGCTGTCTCAAAAAAAAAAAAAAGTATGTGTTTGTGTTAGTTATAAATCATCCCTTCTTACACTAGATAGCATTATAATCCAGTATCATTAAAGTTTCCAGAAATGGCAAATTGCCACCAAGTAGTTATAACCTTGGGTAAGAAGCTAAACAAAACAAAAAGAAAGGATTCAGATACATTTTACCACCAGATCCAGTATTCGATAAACAGATCATGCTAGTGTGAACTAAAATAAAATCTTAAGCCTCCCAGATGACTGAATGGACCCTCTCTTGGCCAAAGGGACCCCAGAAATACCCTAAAGCTGAATTGTTGGTTATGAGCAGGGAGGTAGGACCTGCCTCATCATGCCCCACCTCCCTTCTTGGAGATGTCCTTTGTAACTCATTAACAGGTCTAAAGTTATACAAGACAAGCTTAAAGCACACCTGCAGGTCATCAATTTATTTAACAGATCACTTGAGTATGGGTCTATGTTGGGTTTATGTCCAGTGGCTTGTCTCTGATTAACAGACTTCCTTACCTTACCTTAAAACATTCCAAGCCTTTAGATAAAGCTTCATTTCTTTAACCAATCACAAATCAGAGAATCTTTAATAAATACATCTGTAACCAACCTGTAATCCCCTGCTTCAAGATGCCCTGCCTTTTCAGGACTGTGGGGAGGGGACTCTGGGGCCAGTGAGTGCACCAGAGCAGGTTCTGGGAATTGAAAGAAGAGGTGAGAGGCAGCAGGTAGATGAGACATACTCTTTATTGTCAGGAGGGCGCCTTGCGCAGCGAGAATACAGTGAGCGCTTATATATGACATGGAACAATAGTGGCAACATGCCAAGCGAAAGCATGATCACATAGGTTTACACAGGAGATAACACCTTGGTTACATAAGTGTGTTGACTCATGCCTTGCTGGAAGGCCAGCTTGCTGGAAGTCCAGTCTGGAAAAACACTCTGGCAGTCATCTTAGTTTGGCCTAAGAAAGCTATTGCCTATACAAATGAATTTTCCCTTACAGGGACAAACCAAGGTATGGTATAGAGTTGTGACTTTACGTGTAATTCTTATCACCCTGAAATGTATAAAACCAAACTATAACCCAACCACAGTGAGACCACTTGCTCAAGGCTTCTTGGATGTGGCTGTCTGGGCCATGGTCACACATATTCAACTCAGAATATACCTCTTTAAATTATTTTACAGAGTTTGGGTTCTTTTCCATTGACACTAGAAAAAAGTTTGTCATTTTGAGTCAAATTGCTCTTAAGCTCCTCAACTGAGCTCAGTGAAATTTTTTTTTTTTTTTTTGAGACAGAGTCTCGCTTTGTTGCCCAGGCTAGAGTGAGTGCCTGTGGTGTCAGCCTAGCTCACAGCAACCTCAAACTCCTGGGCTCAAGCAATCCTCCTGCCTCAGCCTCCCGAGTAGCTGGGACTACAGGCATGCACCACCATGCTTGGCTAATTTTTTCTATATATATTAGTTGGCCAATTAATTTCTTTCTATTTATAGTAGAGACAGGGTCTCGCTCTTGCTCAGGCTGGTTTCGAACTCCTGACCTCAAGCAATCCACCTGCCTCGGCCTCCCAGAGAGCTAGGATTACAGGCGTGAGCCACCGCGCCTGGCCTCAGTGAAATTTTTAAATCATCCTCTGGTGTCCCAGAAAAGCTTATATATAATTATAATACATTTTTTAAATTCTGCTTTTATATAGTTTTCAAAGAGTTTTTGCATATACTGTATTATTTTCATTTGCTCCCTCAACAACTCTCCTTGGTAGAGAGGGAAGCTATTATTACTGTACTTTTTTTATGGTTGAGGAAACTGAGGCTCAGAGAGATCATACCGCAGAACAACCCCAGAAATGAGGCAAGAATCAAGATTGTTTCCCTCCGTATGAAATGCTTTAGACTCTTTTATCCAAATTTTCAGCTGTGCATTTTTATTTGGATGTCCCACCCACAGGCTCTTAGATCCAACTCATCCCTGGATCCCATTACAGTTAGTGACATTGCCTTCTACACAGTCATCAAATGAGCAACCTGGGAAGCCTTCTGGATCCTTCTTTCTCTATCCACATTTGCTGATTTTCCTGAACCTGCTCCACACCCTGTTACAGGTGCTCCTTGACTTGTGATGGTGATATGTCCCAACAAGCCCATTCTAAATTGAAAATATAGTAAGTCAAAAATGGATTTAATAACCCAATAATTAATCCATTGTAAAGTTAAAAAAAATCATAGGTTGAACTACTATATGTCCAGATGCTCCTCAACTTACAACAGGATTCCATTTCAGTAAACCCACTGTAAAGCCAAAACATTTTAAGTTAAACCACTGTAGTCCGGACTGTCTGTGCACTCCGCATTAGTTTGCCAGGGTGGCCTTAGTGCAGTACTACAGACTGGAGCTTCAACAACCTTAATTTATTTTCTCACAATTCTTGGGTTTGGAAGTCCAAGATCAAAGTGTCCGTAGTGTTGCTTTCTTCTGAGGCCTCTCTCCTGGGCTTGTACATGGTCATCTTCTCCCTGTGTCCTCACATGGTCTTCTCTCTGTACCTGTAGGAGGAGATGATCTTGACCTAATCTTTTCTGCCGAAGGAGTATTCTGTCTGATATCCAGCTTTGTGTAATTATTAGTCCATAGCACAAACTGTACAATAACAATAACCTTGGTTTAACCTCCTTTCTTGCAATATCAAAAAAAAAAAATCTACATTTACTAACTTTAACCTCCTTGTTCTATTACCCCAGCAACACACCTTAGCCAATGGAGTAAGGGCAAGGTTGTGTGGTCAATGTCCCTACCAATGGGAAGAGACACAGCCCTAGGTCTGCATTAGGGATGAAAAGGTAAAGAACTTGCCTGTAGCATGCTGCCGGCTGACTGCTTTTACTGCCGCTGGGCGCCCTTCTGATCAGAAGTAAAGATTTTGCCTTTCCAAGACAATTTGCAACCTGTTTTCTTAAGGACACCGCGGGTTACTTCTAACATACCTCTTTGCCCCAATTTCCTCTTCTTATAAGGACACAGCCATACTGGAGGAGGGCCCAACCTAACAACCTCATTTTAACTTCACCTCTTTAAAGGCTCTATATATCTCCAAATGTGGC